TACATAACAGACAAAGTTAACCTCAGCTGCAATCTATCATTTTATCCTGAAGATGGTATTTACTAAATCAGCACTATATTTTGCCGCAAGCAACACATACCTCCATTGGCGTATACAGTCCCACATAGACTGTGTCTCTCACTGAGATGTCAGTATCATCATGGACAGCATTAGTTTGAATATCACAGCGATAGATGGCAGTTGGTGAGGTGGCAGATTTCCTACGACCTAATTTAACTCTCTGAGCATCACGATTCTCGTAGATATTATCAAACAGTGTACCAGCAGAGAAGAGCAGTGTAGTTCCATTAGGGAAATACCAGTCTCCACAATGAGAACCCTCAATAGTAGTACAGCATGTTGTCAGGTCAGTGTGATACTCAACACTGTCACCACCACCATGATCTCCCACTAGACTGAGGTCCACATAGGAATGGCTGGCCAGAGTCTGGCCATGAAAGGAGACATAGGGAAAGGCCTGACAGTATACTTCTCCCACAGACCAGCAGAACAACATCAGCCATACCAAGTGAATCACAGCCATTGTTCTCTATTCACACAACTTCTGAATAAACTGTAGCAAGAACCGAAAGGTTATCACTACTACACTATCCACCCACATTATGGAGAGGGGAATGAAAAGGTGATCTCTTAGATTACTCCTAACAAGAAACAACCAAGTAATTCAACCTAGCTACATGAAAGAGGATTAAAATGGAATAACATTCATAGACTTTGTCAGGTAATTTCCCTGATATATAACACAGAACAGCTATATATGAATGCCAAATTGCAGTTCTATATAGTGTTTAGTCAAGTTTCAATTTCTCTGATGATTATCTCGACCATACATGATCCATTTCCCTGGCTGCAGAGTTTTAGTAGTGTGTGTTTTGCCAAATGTCAGCTGATAGGGAGATTGATGGAAAGCAAGAAGGAGGGGATTATAAAAAGAGATCATCATAAATCACCCTCACAATAAGGCAATCGTGACCTAGTTGAATGAATTGTGCCAAGCAAATGGTATCGTTTTGCACTTGTGTTCTTTTATTCATAATAATCCATTGGGATTATGCTCAGTACGCAGCCTTGCACTTTGTGTCTCTCTCTTATTTTCTTCTTTCTCCTTGTGAAAGCATTAGCTGTTTATAGTTTTCGTTGTGTACATCAAATTCCGGTCTAAGCTCCTCAAACTAATCTCACCCACCAATTTCAATGTTGGCTGTCCCTCGTCGGGATGATACTCAACAACAAAATCGGCTTTTCATCTGGAAACTGAAAACACAACACCTATAAGCTGAGCCACACTTCTTTTGCTGATTCAGCAGGGCGTGGCTACCTTGGTGGAGCCACCATATTCAATCAGAAGAAATGGGACATGACTTTGTTCAATACAACTTATGCTATACGTAACACCACTATCAGTGGTACAGAAGCCGCAAGTGCCACAATGACGAAAGCAAACATTACTGTCGCTATTGCACCTGAAACTCCAACTACAGGGAAAGATACAAAAACATTCATTATGCACAAGCTCTGGCTTCCAAACCATGCACCTGTTAGCAAGCACTCAGAGAAAATATTTTTGTGGAAGGTTAGCTATATGCATTACCGTACATGCTGCATGAAACGCTATCGGTAAACAAGTAAAACGAAAGAGAGCTGTGGATGTATAAAAGAAAACACAATACAAAGCTTGGCGCAAGACGCTCGCGCTGCCGGCAAGCCCGGACAATTAGCATGCGCATAACGAATTCTGTCAGCAGCGCCGTGCGCTAACAATCTCGCTAGCAGCAGCTGTACCCACTCCTAATAGCAGGTTGTCTGAGGCAGAACTGCTTTAGTACGGGTAAATCATCGTTTTCTGTTGTGTTGCGTGCCGGCGTTGGTGCTAGTAGTTGTACAGTGTAGCAATGACCGGCTCATACTAGCGACGCCCGCCCGCGGCGAGTACAATCGACTACCGTTAAATGCCCAAGCTCTGCCCAAGCTCGTCATACCCACAAAACAATGCGGTTGCACCGCGCGATAAGCACGTGAGTTCAATCTCTTCTATACATCAGTGTTCACACCAGATAAATGTCACACAACTTAGGGAGACTCTCTCCCTTATATCTAGTTATGCTTCACCTGTAGCAGTGGCACCAATGACACGGTGCTTTGGAGGCAGATTTTTTTGGTGTAAACTAAGGGAATATAGCTAACATATAGTCGTGTCTTGCTCTACAGCTAAGAACACAAATTGGCATGGGATGCGGATAGGTGATTCTTCCCAAACCACAGTCAACTGCGCAGTTGTGAACCAGACAGGATGGGATGGTATAAAACTCCATTATGCTACCCAAGTTAGAGTGGTTGCCACTAACATCACAAATGTAGGCTGGAGACTTCTGGATTGTAGTGGTGCAGGCGGGCCCTGTACTGTTGAAACACCACCCAATCTGAACTGTAGCTGTAACAACAAGGACACGTGTAGCTCGGCACTACCGAACTTCTTAACTCCACAAGTCCCAGAAGAATCCGGTGATGACACAAGTGATGATGTTGACACTTGCTCCCAACAAGTCAACTATGTGACTCCAACCTCACCTGCTGGTATCTCCTGTCCGGGACAGCCCTGCCTGACTCTGGACCAGCATATTACCAGCTAGCTCCAGTACCTACATCGTCTCCAACACAGTCTTTAAACTTCTCCCTGGAGTACACGTCATTAGCTACCAGGTCTTTTGTCACACGAAATGTAAGGTGCTAAACAATCGAAGGCAACACTGACAGAAAGTCCAACATCCAAGTGCAGATTAGAGCTGTAAGCTCACTTTATCATCTGAAGCTTATCAATAGTGCAAATATTAATTTTACATTGCTGGAATTACATTAGATGACACTAGTTTAACCCTTGACAACACAGAGAATACTACTGTCCACCAGGTAGTAGTTGATGGTCCTAGAACTGCAATTATTTTGACCAACACTATTGATACAAACCTCTCTTACTGCAAAGTGGAAAACACTTTCTCAACCGGAGTAAGTATACAAAACGCTCACAACGCCACCATATCTAACAATCGTCTTCACAATATTAGAGGAAATGGACTTGACTTGTTTAACAAACTTACACTAATGTACGTAACACAAAATATCAATGGTAAAAAAGGAGATGGAATCCAACTGCAGCGAGCCAATCGTACTGTGGTGTACTGCACCAGCATCAATGACACACACGTGGGCATGGAATAGATGTGAGAAATTAAAATTACACACTGATTGAACACACACATGTAAACTACACAAGATGGAGTGGAATTGAAGCTTTCGATGCAGTGGAGACTACACTGATGGACACAGCTGTTAGCAACACTGGCAGGGATGGAATAGAATTTAGCCACACAGAGCAAACTGCAATAGCCCAGAGCACTATCGAGAATTCTCGATGGAATGGCATAGAGTTCGACAATGCTAAAAGTACACACATACGCAACACAACAGTGATTAACTCTGGATGGGACGGTATCGATGTCTATAACATGAGGTCCACAGACATGAGGTTTGGGGTGTGTGTGGTGGGAGCAGGATCCACATGCCTTCGTCGGTTGTGTACCCCTCGACCCCTCCATACAAGTACAATGTCTGACTTAACTCCTTACAAGAGCAAGTTTCGTACATAATGCACTGACACTAATAAGAACTGAAGTGCAAACCCTCGGCGAACTGCGCATGCGCGGTACCGCTGACGGACGGACCCGCAGTCTCCCGCTAGTAGCTCGCGGAGAGTCTGACACGGGCTAGCTACGGTAGTAGATAGCATGCGGGAGTCAATACACGCCCTTCGCTGTGGTTTCTTGTGCCTCCAAGGTACACAGAGCAAGAGGATCAGGTCGGGGTGAGCCAGCATACCGCGTCTAACATACGCATGCGCACCGCTTATTGATGGGTTGGGCCACGGAACACGGTCCGCGACGGTGCCAGTTTGTCGCTCTCGAACGCAGTCGTTTCAGGAAAATCGCCCTTTTAATTTTCCGGCTCGTGTAATTTTGAAGCTGCTGGTATCGCCGCTTCGTAGCCTGTAGTGCCAGAATAAGCGTCGACACACACACACAGACAGACAGAATGAAAAGCACTAAGTGCAAACACTCGGCGCGCGCATTGTGACGCGCACGCGTAAGTAAACGCATGCGCCGTACCACTAATTGATGGGCTGGGTTTAGTTTTAGCTGTTACTCGTGGTCTCTTGCCAGCTCGCGCAGAGTCTGACGCGGGCTAACTACACTACTAGATATCATGCGAGAGGCGATACACGCCCTGCGTTGCATCTTTGCATGGTGCTCCGAGGTACGCAGAGCACGCGGATCGGTCTGACCGTGGTAAGCCATCCCATCCGTTGTGTATTTGCATATTGGCTTTTTCGCGCTCTAGCTTTGCAAGGGAGCAGTTTCAGAGAAAACCGCTGACAGGTCGTATCCTTTCTGAGGCGAACAAACACCCGAGAAGTGAGATTGAGAGTAACAGACACACAGACAGACAGACAAACCCAACTACAGTAACCCTCGATGCGCATGCGCGCCGAGGGTTAATTACTGCTTATACTTAAACAATGCTGATCTTTAGCTGCATGTACAATTACATAAAATAACGACGTGCCCAATTGTTAGCTGATCATGATTCACCAAAATAGACATCATGACATTCATACTGCGCATCAACGCATGTGCAATTATGGTATATACTTTCTGCCATAATGTGTAGCCAACAAGAAACAGGGTCTGCCATTCAGTTGGATAGCATTTACTATAGGATATGTAGTACAATTGATTCACAAGATTCTATTGTGCCATCTCGTAAACTCTTGACAAAATGAGTGAAGTGCAAACCCTCGGAGAACTGCGCACGCTTATGGACTGGGCTTTTAGTATGCGTTTACTCGTGGTCTCCACGCTATAAGTAGCTCGCGGAGAGTCTGACACGGACTAGCTACAGTAGTAGATAGCATGCGGGAGTCGATACACGCCCTTCGTTGTGACTTCTTATGCCTTCAAGATAGACAGAGCAAGCGGACCTGGTCGAGGTAAGCCTGTGCTAATATAATGCGCATGCGCATTTTCCACAGCGGCCGACATTAGCCGTACAATGCGCAACGGAGCATTTTCAGATAGAACCGCTCGAACATTCTGACCTTGCCCGTGAAGTAAGTCGTATCGTTTGTGAGACTAACGAACATTGGAGAAGTGAGATGTTGAGTAACAGACACACAGCTAGACACACTACCGTATATACCCTCGCTGCGCATGCGCGCCGAGCAAACACAGATAAGGCTGTACCGAAGCCCGCAGACAATTTTACGGCCAAAACATGCATGGAAAAGCAATCCAACAATAATGGCAGGTAGGGTCTAACCTCATTCCCCTGCTGTTTTTGTTGGAGAGGAAAATGTCTTTTTCCTCCCCCATAAAAACAGCCCTGGGAAATAATGATGTATGACGGCATTAGAATAACCACAGATGTCATAGCACACAAAACACGTAAGGAAGTAGGAGATGGACTACTTCAAGGACTCTGTAGACATGATAAGGATGCCTGAATGAACTGTTGCCCTGGCATGTGACCAATGAATCTGTGTTGTTGGTTCTATGGGAGTGATAACTGGAGGGTTTTGAGTCCTGCTGTAGAGGAGTCAATTTGCCGTCTGTGTGTGTGTGCAGTATTGTCTATAGCTTTTCTGATTCCCATGGAAAACAGCTTTCATTATGTGTGTCAATGTACAACAAGCATGGCAAAGGGTTATGTTTTGTGTACAGGGGAGATGCTTGAAGGTGGCGACAACAGAGGTGTGCAGACTGGTGAATCATGCTAGGGGTAGGGTGTGCATGACCGATAGAATGATACGTGAGGGTTGAAGCATCATGTGCCATATACTCACTGCTATTACAACGAATATTACCAGTGGTAAAGATAATTGGCTGATGTCATCTGGTACTATGTGTGATTCTTAGGAGCATGTGCCATTATGCTTCCTTGCATAGTATTGCTAGGGTGAAGGCTGTGAGTAAAGTCAAGGTGCATTTGTGAAGTGGAGGCTAGCTGTAGTGTTAATGATTGGTATATAGCTATGTGACACGAGGAGGAAATGGTGGTTTATGAATTATTAATAAAGACACGGTGCTTAGACACACTGCTATGTAAAAGTATGTAAATGATTATGTTCATACGGTCTAATGGTTCTAATAGTGACACACACCAGTGCGCAATGAATATATGCCAGCAGATTCAGGACCTGTTTGAAAATGTACATAGAATCATATGCACAGCTAGCTACACACACCTGCTGTAGTAGCTAGTGAGTCGAGACATAGGCTGGGTTTTCTTCAAGCCTCATCCTCATTGGGTTTTCATATGCTGGATCGTGGTGTAGAGCCGGATTAGCAGTAGACACCTCTTCATACACTGAGGCAGTATGGTGGTGAATTTAACATTTACATTTAGTTGATTGTTACCATGACACTTTTGTTGTGCTCATCTGAAACATTATCTAGTCATAAAACATGGTCAGACAAATAAGTGACATGTCGATTTACTCTTACCTTTGTTTCTATTTTTACCTGTCAAATAAGGACAGTCGTTATTATAATTGACAGATTGCGCTTAGCTAACGTACGATATATCCAAGCAACAATTGCCACAATGACGAAAGTAAACATTACTGTTGCTACTGACCCTGAAACTCCAACTACAGGGAAAGATACACAGACATACAAACTCTAGCTGCTTTCCAAACCTAATGTTGCATATACCTATGAGCAAGCACTCAGAGAAATAATAAGTTCGGTGGTACTGGGCTACACGTGTCTTTGTTGTTACAGCTACAGCTCAGGTTGGGCTGTGTTTCAACAGTACAGGGTGTATCTGTATACCTGCAATCCAGCCTGCTCCAACCTGCATTTGTGATGTTTGTTCCAATCACTCTAGCCTGGGTACCGTAGCGGATCTCTATACCACTCCGACCTGTCTCGTTCACTAGTGAGCAATTAACTGTGGTTTGGGAAGAATTGAAAATCTCAATTCCGTTCAAACCTGTGCTGTTTACAGTCGAGCAAGAAATCACTGTAAAATTTGCCTGTCGTATTTCAATTCCATCCCAACCTATTTCATTCACAAGCGTATCAGTAACTTTTGTTTTGAAAGCATTGAATATCTTGATTCCATTCCAACCTGTGCTGTTTACAACAGAGTAAGAAATCACTGTAAAATTTGCCTGTCGTATTTCAATTCCGTTCAAACCTGTTTCATTCACAAATGTGCTAAAAATGCCAGTCTGTGAAGAATTGTATATCCCAATACCAGTCCCACCAGTGATGTTTACAACAGAGCACGATATCAATGTAGAATTTGTCTGTCGTAGTTGAATTCCATTCCACCCAGTGCTATTGATGAAGGTGTGCAATATTTCAGTTTTTGATGTGTTGAAGAAATACAATCCGTGCGATCCGGTGTTATCAAAGTGGTGTTACATATGCTGGTATATGTGTGTGTTTGCAGAGTCATGCTGTCCACGCCGGTATTCTTCAAGATGGCAGCAAGATATGTTGGTACAATGGTGTAAGCGAGCATAACTGACAAGTTCTGGGGCCAATCACAACCACCTGAGAGAGTGACATTGTCTGTGCCTTCGAGGGATATACCTACAATTTTCAGTTCAATTCCAGCAATGTAAACATCAACAGTGTTGATAAACTGCAACAGATAACGTGAGCTGCTAATCTGCACTTGAGGGTTTGACTTTCTTTCAATGTCTCCTTCGAGGGTGATGCACGCAATGTTTCGTGCAACAAAAGACCTGGTGATGTGGTGTATTCCAGGGAGAAGTTTAAAGACTGTGTTGGAAATGATGTAGGTACTGGAGCTGGTAATATACTGGTCCGAGGAGTCAGCAGGGCTGTCCGGACAGGAGATACCAGCAGGTGATGTTGGAGTCACATAGTTGACTTGTTGGGAGCCAGTAGCTGCACCAGTGGATGAGACCAATAGGGTCAGACACAGCCACAAAGTACAGATAGTGATGCTCATCCTTTACAAATTTATGCTTGCACACTATAATGTACAACCATATTATGCGGTGTTGCCCTCAGGCTTTTGTGGGTGTGAGTGGAATAGGTAGTAGTGGCCTGTATCTCGGTTCAGTGCACAAAGTTTTTGGGCTATACGGACATCAGCCTTCATTGTACTCTATACCTGGGATGGTATGGAGATGTAGACGCTATTGTAGAAACTTAGGAGATTGTTTGATTGAATCTCACTTCTTCAGACAGCGATCTCAACATCTCGTACATTTGTATAATGGGCAAATCACTACTAACACACCTTCTCCGCAGTGTTCCCTTCCATGAAAAAACATGTTTTTATAGCATACTAGCTAAAAGGAGGAAAAGAAAGAACCTCCCCCACCAAGCACACCAAAAACACAGACAATAACATACCCAACACAGACAATAACATGCATACAGACACATACATCGTGTATTGCTGTGTATATATGCAACTTTGTACTGTATCTAACCAACACCCCCTCCCTCCCTCCATGTTGCCTGGTACACAATGTTGTATACACACACCCTCACTCCCCTTCACCTCCTCCTCTTCTCCCAGACTTCTACATCGGGGGATGAAGCGGATGCGGCGGTGGGCTATGCCACCAATACCTCATCCGTCACGGAGTGGTGTGGAAGACTGGGACCTCATGGAGAGGTTCTGGGAACAGTGGCATCTTCAAGTACCTCCGCGCGGAGCCCGAGGACCACTACTTCTTGCTGACAGAGCCTCCACTCAACACACACCGGAGAACAGAGAGTACACCGCCGAGATTATGTTTGAGAGTTTCAACGTGCCCGGTCTCTATATCGCTGTACAGGTGAGTGAGTGCGTGTGTGCGTGCTTGTGCATGTGTGTGGATGTGGATGTGTATCCCCGTTGTTTTGGTGTGGATACTGATATGAGCTGTTTATATGTACATATGTACGTACTACACAGACATTGGTCAATGGTTAAGTACACTTTCTGTTGTTGTCTATTATATATTATAATATGGCTGAAGTGGGTATAGAAAGTATGATGTGCTGGGTTAAGTTAATACAATCACTGGGACGCTTTCGGAGTTACTATGATTGGTGTGTTACCACCATCTCGGCCTCCTTTCAAGCCTTGAATATAATGAGGTTGTACTACCACTGACTGGACACTACAACCACCCTTGTCTGTTTCTCCCCCCACTTCTTCTTACGAACTACAAACTGTTCAGCGGAAACACGGCCTTGAATCTTGCATTAGAAAGTATTGCAGTGGTTTTTAGGCCTTTTGTCCTAACATTACTCTTGTGGCAAAAGGATTGATTGGCGGTTGTTGCCATGTCATCCGGCATGCATGGCGTATCTGCTTAACGCAACCTGCAATTAATGAAATGTCCCAATAATTTTCAAAATCTGTCTGACTGGTGTTATTTAAGCCTCCAACATTCAGATTTGCTAATTGAGCCTGTATAAGAGTATAGTTCTTTGTGGTGGGTGAATTATTAGGTGTGTTGTATGCACAGGTGGGGTATAACTGGCAGTTCCACCCTAATTCATTTAGTCACCCACCCTTGACTCCCTCTCCTACTCTGTTCCTGGTCTCTTTTCCTCCCCAGTTTCTCCCAGTTGCCTCTCTCCATTTTCCCCTCAAAACCTTCCTTAACTGTGTCTGTCCATCTCTCTACTTGTGTCCCAATGGTCACTAAAACACAATGCATGCAATGGGAGAAACGATAACAATGGCTGGGGTATACTTTTGACTAGGGACGTCAGGTGTAAAATGTCCGTACTGTCTCTGTCACTAGTACCGATCAAGGGCCATAAAGTATTCCATATGGCTCATTTGGTGCATGGGTCACAATTGTATAACTTCCCAACCCTAATATCCTTTCTACTTGTCCTTTGTCTCGCTTCGTGTATCTCCTCCATTCTATCTATCCCCCCCTCGCCTTCCTACTCCCCCCTCCCGTGCAGGCGGTACTGGCGCTGGCAGCATCGTGGACCTCGAGACAGGTGGGAGAGAGAACCCTCACTGGAACTGTCATTGACTCTGAAGACGGCGTCACTCACATCATCCCTGTGGTAAAACTCTCACTACATCCTCATTTCGGTTTTATTTGAACGGAACACTCAGAAACAACCGTAGCAAAATGCGCTCTCTTGTAGCAAGAGAGGGAAGAGGGAAAGAAAATAGTACGTGTTGGTTGTGAAATAGAAGGACATTGTGTGTGTGTGTGTGTGCGTGTGCGTGCGTGCGTGTGTGTGCGTGCGTGTGTGTGCGTGCGTGCGTGTGTGTGCATGTGTGTGTGTGCTCCTGTCCCCCTCACTGTGAAATTGTGTATGGTTGGCTATTGATACATGCACACACGTGAACACACAGAAACAATGTCCTACTCTTTCACGACCAACACTTACTCTTTCCTACTCTCTCTTTTCCTCTCTTGCTACAAGAATCCGCATTATTTTGCTACGATTGTTTCGTTTTTATGGAGTGGAGTGGTTGTTCTGTTGTTAACGTTTACACTATGTCCATGGCACGCTCTGTGCAGGCTGAGGGCTACGTGATTGGCAGCTGCATCAAGCACATCCCATCGCCGGGCGCGACATCACCTACTTCATCCAGCAAGCTGCTCGCAGATAGAGTCTGGGATTCCCCCGAGCAGTCCCTGGAGACTGCCAAGGCCATCAGGTCCGTTGATTACCACATGCAACTTCTGTCGTTCGTGATTCATGGCAAAAGGCTTTCGTGGATTTAAATCCCACTGACAAATGGACTTAAGTGGAATTAGTCCCACCTGTAACATTTTCCCCAGAAATATTTACACTGTAACATCCCTTCAAAGTTTCAGTTCATTCCTTCCATGCCTTGTACATCCACCCACACAGAGTTTGTAATTGGGGACTTTAACATGTTTGCTGGGGACTTTTTACTTGTTTGTAATATGGCATTGACGAGCTCTAATTGTGGTAATTTGCACACTTCAAATCAAAACCCCTCGCAATTCTCAGAAGGTATTTTCTGAGCCGTATCAGCAGACAAACACGCAATTAGTATTGCTCATATTACGTGCGTACCTTTTGTGACTTCATAGCATAGATATATACACGCATACCCTACTACATGTAGATGCAATCTCGTGCCGACTCGGTGCTTTTTTATTACATTCCAAGGCCCGCACTTGATTGTCACGTGATCATGTCGTAACTCCTCTGACACTGGGAGTGTGGGGAGAGTTGGCATGCCGTAAGACACTCTTTAACCCACCGCCCCGGTTCTCAAGGCTGGGCACTTGGTGTCCTAGTTGTGTGCAACTGTGTTGTTTGTGTCTGTGTATGTACTTGGGTGGAGGATGGGGGGTAACCTTTAGTTTTCCTCCGCTGAGTTCGAAGCTGAGCTGCAGTCGAGCCTCCACCGTCCGTTTGAGATCTCTCTGCAGGCGACGGCCAAAGTCCTTGAACATGGTGGAGCCTCCAGACAGCACTATGTTCTGGGGAAGACAGGCAAGTATGTAAATCCACTGGTCACTATAGTAAACTGAAGCTTAATTATAGAGATCAGAGAGATCTCAAACGGACGGTGGAGGCTCGACTGCAGCTCAGCTTCGAACTCAGCGGAGGAAAACTAAAGGTTCATATAGAGTCTGCACCATATAAGGAACGTGGCAGTATAAATGGGCTAAAATTTAGTTAAAAACGGAAACTTAATTGCATTCTTTTGCTGGGCCCTAATTGCCATCTTTAGTAATGTTAATTTATCCCTTATGTATATATACTGTTTTAAATATCCATTTGTGTGTTGTTTGGTGAGCAGATTGTTTAGACCAACCAGGACTCTTTAATATTGCTATCCAGTTGAGGTTGTATCCTATTGGTTAACTCTAAATAAGGGAAGCTTCTGACACTTTCGGAGTCCCTAAGGTGTCCCATATTCAGTGCTCTTTCACAGCATTTGAACCTACTAAGAATAGTCTTAGGGTTTTCGGCCAGTGAAGGCAGACATGATACAATGTGTTGTGCTGTGTGTTGTATATTCACAAGCCGTCGTAGTAAAGCTGAAACGAAGGTATTTGCTGAGTGAGACTGGTGACATTCACATGTGTAGTTAATGGTTTGCCTGTTACTATACAATAATAGTAACTGTAGTGCATAGTGAGCAGTGACATTGTTGGTGCCATTTGCGTCACGTTAAAATTTTATGTGTGGGTTCACTCATATTATTATTGCTACTATGTTTGCAGCCCAAGCCGATTGAGACGCAAGTGATCACCCACCACATGCAGCGATACGCTGTGTGGTTTGGAGGCTCTATGCTGGCCTCTACTGTGAGTCTGCTCGCTCTGTACATAACACATACTCTTCTCTCTATAATGTAGCCCTCCTCCTCTACTTCGCTATATACTCCCCCTCCCATTTCTTCTGTTAACTCTGAAGGGGGTTCTAAGAATGCTACATCACCATTTTGGAATGGAGTGCCCAGAAGGGGAGGGCATTTGCCTACACTGATGAATAAAAAAAATTTTACTTTTTGCCTATGAAGTTGCTAATAAGGTTCTGCGTACTCACCAATGTAAACTTTGTCCCTATGCCTATGAATACTGCTATTAACCACTTCCCTATGCTTCTTGGTCTTCTTTGTCCCTCTCTCCTCCCCCCTCCACAGCCGGAGTTTTACGAGGTGTGTCACACAAAGAAGGACTACGACGAGCATGGACCCAGCATCTGCCGCCACAATCCTGTGTTCGGCACAATGTCCTAACCTTTTACCTCCGCACACACACTGTGCGTGTGTTATTTACTCCATACAAAAACTCTGTAACATCAGTCTAGGCTTTTCACAGGGTAATTTATCGTTTTCGACTTAGAATTCACAATGTCAACGTTGTTTAGTGCCGTATTATACATTTATTGTTTAAAATAACATGCTGCGTAGTTGGCAGTGTGCATTAGCGAGATATTGTTTTTTGAAAGTTGTGTAAATTTATTGACAATACTGCTTTGTTTTAGCATGTTGTAGAAACTTCTATTGTAGCTACAATTGGTGCACTGCTATATAAGTGCCCTGAAGACAGCACCTGAGTACTGTAGGTGCCGTGGGGTGTCGAAACGTTAGAAAAACCATGCTCAACCATCATACTTCTGGAGTGAAATGTCACTAAAAACTGAGCTCCAGACTTGGCATTAACTGTGACCATAGTGCAAACATTCGTGGGGAAATTCGAGGTCGTTGGCAGCAAAATTGTACGAAACAATCCAGTGTTATGTCTTTGACTGATACAACAAGGGACACTATGGGGCCAACGGTTTTGTCCCTATCTCAGAGGGTCCCTTATTGGAGGTTGCACTGTACTCCTGGCGTCCTGGGGCAGACTCAGCCCTTTAATGGGCGTGCTATACCACATGACGCACTCATGAAGACACTTAGACACCTCTGCTTAGGTTGCAGAGCACTTCGATACTTTAGAGTTTTAGAATGTTCATGACGTGTTTGCTTAACCTTTGTCTTGTGCCCTCATCGATGTTTACAGATGCACAAAACAGAGAATGATGTCATCCCTTACTCACGAAAGGTTTGGGCTATGCTTACATATACAAGCCAAAATGACAAAAAAGTGGCTTCTAACTTTTAAGTTACACACCAGTCGCATGAAGCAGATTATGCTTTCATCATGTATTATGAAAAGCATTAACCCTCGGCGCGCATGCGCAGCGAGGGTTATAGTTGTCATTCCGTCCGTCTGTCTGTCTGTTACCACGTTTTCTCCCGCTACGCGCAACAAGACAGCCAAAAAGCGATACCGACTTGTTCAGTGCCACACTGGCTTTATTTTAAAAATAGCGATTTTGGTAAAAAAAGAGTCAGTAAAACGGTAAAATTGGACCAGCCCACCAATGACAGTGCCGCGCATGCGTATGGTATTATAGTCATCCGCGTCTCTACGGGCAAGGCTCTGCGTAAAAAAGCATTGCAGGTAACCTGCTGAGGCACAGCCTGCCCGAGTAAGAAAATGTTAATATCCTGCTCCTCCCCCACACCACTGCAGACATCAGAATGTGCACAGGGTGAACATCTACCATTGCTAACCTACTGATGTAGCCAGCCCATGATGACATGTAACAGCTTAGTAGTATGTACATGTACTTAAATAAGTCGTATCGTTTATGAGACGAACGAACATTGGAGAAGTGAGATTGAGTAACAGACACACAGACCCAACTACCGTATATACCCTCGCTGCGCATGCGCGCCGAGGGTAAAAAATTCGGATAAGTAAAGACACTCAACGCCGTACCGAAGTCAACAGATAATTTTACGGCCAAAACATGCATGGAAGCAATCCGACAATAATGGGAGGTAGGGTCTAACCTCATTCCCCTGCTGTTTTTGTTGGAGAGGAAAATGTCTTATGTAGACTATTATGTATGAATGATGGCGTTAGAATACCCACATGATGTCATAGCACACAAAACACGTAAGGAAGTAGGAGATGGACTACTTCAAGGACTCTGTAGACATGGGCTGAATGAACTGTTGACTCTGTGTTGTTGGTTCTATGGGAGTGATAACTGGGGAGTTTTGAGCCCTGGAGGAGTCACATTTTGCTGTGTGTGTGTGTGCAGTATTGTCTATAGATTTATTTGGAACGCAGCTTTCATTGTGTGCGTTCATAAATTTACATAAGCATGGTGATTGTTATTGTAGTACAAAGTGGCTTTTTAGAAAATTGCAGATAAATGTTTTCGTACACTGAGAGAGTCTTGTAGCCGGCTACACATCCGGTGTGCAGACTGGTGAATCATGCTATGGGGTAGCAATGATACGTGAGGATTGAAGCATGCATGTGCCATATACTCACTGCTATTATAACAAACAATTACCAGCTGGTAAAGATAATTGGCTGATGTTCATCTGGGTGATTCTTAGGAGCATGTGCATTATGCTTCCTTGCATGAAATTGTAGTTTATAGCATACCAGCCATAGGTAGATAGATAGATAGATAGATAAATAAATAAATATAAACCACCACCAACATAATATATCCACAAATCCCAAAACATCCATACAAAACACATACACAAATACACATGACATGAGAGGAGGACACTGGGTGCCCAGCCTTGAGAACCGGGGTGGTGAGTTAAAGAGTCTTTTATGGCTAGCCAACTCTCCCCACGCACCCAGCATCCAAACTCCACATCACAGACAATGACAGCCACACAGGGAGTAACTGTACGATAGCACAGTCACGACAACACAAGTAGAGTATGATACATATAAATATATATATATATAATTATAGATGGTAGAAAAATGAAATTGGTAACATTGTAGAAAAATAGAATCTAGCTTACTTACTGGAGTGGTTAAAATGACTCACTTGTAGCAGTAAAATCATGGTAGAAAAATATAGAATGACTTACTTGTAGCGGTAAAAACGTGGTAGAAAAATAGAATCTGGAATAAAACGACTTACTTACACAGTAAAAACGTGGTGCACTATGGTGGTTCCTATTAGTGCTGCCCCTCATGATTAGTAGCTATGTGACGTAGAGGGGAAAGCGATGGTTTATGAATTATTAATCAAGACACGGTGCTTAGACACACTGCTATGTGAAAGTATGTATATGATTATGTTCATACGGTCTAATGGTTCTAATATTGACACACACCAGTGTAATTTGCACAATGACAGCAGATTCAGGACCTGTTTGAAAAAGGTATGAACCATATGCACAGCTAGCTAGCTACACACACCTGCTGTATAGCTAGTGAGTGGAGACATAGGCTGGGTTTTCTTCAAGCCTCATCCTCATTGGGTTTTCATCTACTGGATCGTGGTGTACAGCCGGATTAGCAGTAGACACCTCTTCATACACTGAGGGTAGTATGGTGGTGAATATAACATTTTACATTAGTTGATTGTTACCATGACACTTTTCGTTGTGCTCATCTGAAACATCTAGTCATAAAACATGGTCAGAGTAATAAGTGCCATGTTCATTTTACTCTTACCTTTGTGTCTATTTTTACCTGTCGAATAAGGACAGTCGTTATTATAATTGACAGATTGTGCTTAGCTAACATACGATAGATCCAAGCAACAATTGCCACAATGATGAAAGCCAACATTACTGTTGCTACTGACCCTGAAACTCCAACTACAGGGAAAGATACACAGACATACCAACTCTAGCTGCTTTCCAAACCTAATGTTGAATACACCTATGAGCAAGCACTCAGAGAAATAATACTTACGGATGACATTTCGATGTGATAAATAATTGATTGGGGAAGATATTCCCACAGAAGGGACCGGAGTTACTTGAATCACAGACATCATAGGTGTAGGATTTGTTGAGCTTTGGGATCTCTCATACACTGACGAGGTTGGAGTCGTAATGTTGACTTGTTTCGAGTCAGTCACTATGTCATCAATAAATGTTTCATCACCGGATCCTGGGGCTTGTGGAGGTAACAAGTTTTGTGGTTCTGAGCTACACGTGTCCTTGTTGTTACAGTTACAGTTTAAGTTGGGAGGTTTTTCAACAGTACAGGGCATGTCTGTATACCTGCAATCCAGCCTGCTCCAGCCTACATTTGTGATGTTTGTTCCAATCACTCTAGCCTGGGTACTGTTGCTTATCTCTATACCACTCCAACCTGTCTCGTCCACTAGTGAGCAAGTAACTGTGGTTTGGGAAGAATTAAAAATCTCAATTCCATACCATCCTGTGCTTTTTACAGTTGAACATGATATCACCGTAAAGTTTGCCTGTCGTATTTCAATTCCATTCCAACCTGTTTCATTCACAAATGTGCTACAAATGCCAGTTTGAGAAGAATTGTATATCTCAATACCATTCCAACCTGTGTTTTTCACAGTAGAGTTATATATCACTGTAGAGTTGGCCTGTTGTATTTCAATTCCGTTCCAACCTGTGCTGTTTACAGTAGAGTATGAAATCAGTGTAGAATTTGTCTGTCGTAGTTCAATTCCATGCCACCCAGTGCTATTGAGTAAGGTGTGCAATATGTCAGTTTTTGATGAGTTGCAGAGGTTGAATCCGTTCCATCCGGTATTATTCACAGTGGTGTTAGATATGCTGGTATTATATGTGTTTCGCAGAGTTAATGCTGTCCAGCCGGTATTCTTCAAGCTGCAGCAAGATATGTTGGTATCTATGGTGTTAAGCAAACTAACTGCAGTTATAGGGCCGTCAACAACCACCCGATGAAGAGTGACATTTTCTGTGCCTTCAAGGGATATGCCTACGTTTTTCTGTTCAATTCCAGAGATGTAAACATCGACAGTGTCGATAAACTGTAACAGATAACGCCACAGATAACGTGAGCCACTAATCTGCACTTGAGGGTTTGACTTTCTTTCAATGTCTCCTTCGAGGGTGATGCACTCAATGTTTCGTGCAACAAAAGACCTTGTGATGTGGTGTATTCCAGGGAGAAGTTTGAAGACTGAGTTGGAGATGATGTAGGTACTGGAGCTGGTAATATATTGGTCCAGAGTCAGGCAGGGCTGTCCGGGACAGGAGATACCAGCAGGCGAGGTTGGAGTCACATAGTTGACTTGTTGGGAGCCAGTAGCTGCACCAGTGGATGACACCAATAGGATCAGACACAGCCACAATGTACAGATAGTGATGCTCATCCTTTACAAATTTATGCTTGCACACCATAATGTACAATGCCGGGAATGGTTGGTTGCTTTTTATGCTGAATTCCACCCCTATACAAAGCTGAAACTTCCTGCAGATAAGGTATATACATCCTGTATTAAATCTACCCACTTTCTCTTTGGTTGACAATCCATTTTTGTGTGTTTATACATTTCTTAAAATTTTTTGCAGTTTCCAGCCTTTCTTTTTGAGCCAGCTTTTACTGCATGTTGTGATCTATTTGACCCACAGCCATAGCTATCAAGGAATCGGTACATGTTAGAGACAACACACAGGAGAGACTAGCCCGAGGAGTGGACGATGATACATATACTTACATATACACCGACTACTCCTAGAGCACATTGATAGTATACATGTACTCAGTAGAGCGCTCGCCTAGAAAGCAGAGTGTCGTGTGTTGGAAACCCACCTAGGGCAGCTTTTTCCCCTCAGAAATAAATAGCTGTCATGGGTATAGTTGACTTGTTTGCCTTTCTACCTTGTACTTTTCACTTGTACTTTACTCCCGGCAGTTGGTACTTTCGCTTATTAATCAGTCTACCACATTAACTTCCGTGGGTGGATCAGAAAGGCGATGGTGTCTTCTTCCTCAATGGGGATATCTGCCTTTCCAATGCACTTCCATGACATGTATCACAGTGTGTGGGACATGCCCCCTATCTCAGCCCTTTAGCTCTGTTTGTATAAACCTACCCATGAGTATACACAGCCTACATAATGCATGCATGCGTCCACCTTATGCGGTGTTGCCATCAACCTTTTGTGGGTTTGAGGGGAATAGGCCGTAGTGGCCTGTATCTCGGTTCAGTGCACAAAGTCTTGGGCTATAATATGGACATCAACCGTCATTGTACTCTATACCTGGGATGGTATAGAGATGTAGACGCTATTGTAGAAACTTAGGAGATTGTTTGATTGAATCTCACTTCTTCAGACAGCGATCTCAACATCTCGTACATTTGTATAATGGGCAAAATCACTACTAACACACCTTCTCTGCCGTGTTCCCCTTCCATGCATACAGACACATACATCGTGTATTGCTGTGTATATATGCAACTTTGTACTGTATCTAACCAACGCCCCCTCCCTCCCTCCATGTTGCCTGGTACACAATGTTGTATACACACACCCTCACTCCCCCCTCTCCCCTTCACCTCCTCCCCTCTTCTACCAGACTTCTACATCGGGGATGAAGCGGATGCGGCGGTGGGCTATGCCACCAAGTACCCCATCCGTCACGGAGTGGTGGAAGACTGGGACCTCATGGAGAGGTTCTGGGAACAGTGCATCTTCAAGTACCTCCGTGCGGAGCCCGAGGACCACTACTTCTTGCTGACAGAGCCTCCACTCAACACACCGGAGAACAGAGAGTACACGGCCGAGATCATGTTCGAGAGTTTCAACGTGCCCGGTCTCTATATCGCTGTACAGGTGAGTATGTGCATGCGTGTGTGCGTGCTTGTGGATGTGTGTGGATGTGGATGTGTATCCCCGTTGTTTTGGTGTGGATACTGATATGAGCTGTTTATATGTACATATGTACGTACTACACAGACATTGGTCAATGGTTAAGTACACTTTCTGTTGTTGTCTATTATATATTATAATATGGCTGAAGTGGGTATAGAAAGTATGATGTGCTGGGTTAAGTTAATACAATCACTGGGACGCTTTCGGAGTTACTATGATTGGTGTGTTACCACCATCTCGGCCTCCTTTCAAGCCTTGAATATAATGAGGTTGTACTACCACTGACTGGACACTACAACCACCCTTGTCTGTTTCTCCCCCCACTTCTTCTTACGAACTACAAACTGTTCAGCGGAAACACGGCCTTGAATCTTGCATTAGAAAGTATTGCAGTGGTTTTTAGGCCTTTTGTCCTAACATTACTCTTGTGGCAAAAGGATTGATTGGCAGTTATTGTCATGTCATCCGGCATGCATGGCGTATCTGCTTAACGCAACCTGCAATTAATGAAATGTCCCAATAATTTTCAAAATCTGTCTGACTGGTGTTATTTAAGCCTCCAACATTCAGATTTGCTAATTGCGCCTGTATAAGAGTATAGTTCTTTGTGGTGGGTGAATTATTAGGTGTGTTGTATGCACAGGTGGGGTATAACTGGCAGTTCCACCCTAATTCATTTAGTCACCCACCCATGACTCCCTCTCCAACTCTGTTCCTGGTCTCTTTTCCTCCCCAGTTTTCTCCCAGTTGCCTCTCTCCATTTTTTCCTCCAAACTTTCCTTAACTGTCTCTGTCCATCTCTCAACTTGTGTCCCAATGGTCACTAAAACACAATGCGCGTGCAATGGGGGAAAACGATGAGAAATGGCTGGGGTATACTTTTTGACTGGGGACGTCAGGTGTAAAATGTCCGTACTGTCTCTGTCACTACCGAGCCAAGGGCCATAAAGTATTCCATATTGCGCATTTGTGCATGGGTCACAATTGTATAACTTCCCAACCCTACATATCTCTTCTACTTGTCTTGTCTCGCTTCTTTTCTCCTCCATTCTTTCTCCCCCTCCTCCCCCCTCCTGACCTCTCTCTCCTCCCCCCTCCCGTACAGGCGGTACTGGCGCTGGCAGCATCGTGGACCTCGAGACAGGTGGGAGAGAGAACCCTCACTGGAACTGTCATTGACTCTGGAGACGGCGTCACTCACATCATCCCTGTGGTAAAACTCTCACTACATCCTCATTTCGGTTTTATTTGAACGGAACACTCAGAAACAACCGTAGCAAAATGCGCTCTCTTGTAGCAAGAGAGGGAAGAGGGAAAGAAAATAGTACGTGTTGGTTGTGAAATAGAAGGACATTGTGTGTGTGTGTGTGTGCGTGTGCGTGCGTGCGTGTGTGTGCGTGCGTGTGTGTGCGTGCGTGCGTGTGTGTGCATGTGTGTGTGTGCTCCTGTCCCCCTCACTGTGAAATTGTGTATGGTTGGCTATTGATACACGCATACACGTGAACACACAGAAACAATGTCCTACTCTTTCACGACCAACACTTACTATTTCCTACTCTCTCTTTTCCTCTCTTGCTACAAGAATCCGCATTATTTTGCTACGATTGTTTCGTTTTTATGGAGTGGAGTGGTTGTTCTGTTGTTAACGTTTACACTATGTCCATGGCACACTCTGTGCAGGCTGAGGGCTACGTGATTGGCAGCTGCATCAAGCACATCCCCATCGCCGGGCGCGACATCACCTACTTCATCCAGCAGCTGCTCCGAGAGAGGGAGTCTGGGATTCCCCCCGAGCAGTCCCTGGAGACTGCCAAGGCCATCAAGGTCCGTTGATTAGCCACATGCAACTTCTGTCGTTCGTGATTCATGGCAAAAGGGCTTTCGTGGATTATAAATCCCACTGACAAAATGGACTTAAGTGGAATTAGTCCCACCTGTAACATTTTCCCCAGAAATATTTACACTGTAACATCCCTTCAAAGTTTCAGTACATTCCTTCCATGCCTTGTACATCCACCCACACAGAGTTTGTAATTGGGGACTTTAACATGTTTGCTGGGGACTTTTTACTTGTTTGTAATATGGCATTGACGAGCTCTAATTGTGGTAATTTGCACACTTCAAATCAAAACCCCTCGCAATTCTCAGAAGGTATTTTCTGAGCCGTATCAGCAGACAAACACGCAATTAGTATTGCTCATATTACGTGCGTACCTTTTGTGACTTTCATAGCATAGATATATATACACGCATACCCTACATACATGTAGATGCAATCTCGTGCCGACTCGGTGCTTTTTTATTACATTCCAAGGCCCGCACTGATGTCACGTGATCATGTCGTAACTCCTCTGACACTGGGGAGTGTTTGTGGAGAGCTTGGCATGCAGTAAGACACTCTTTAACCCACCGCCCCGTTTTCTCAGGCTGGGCACTTGGTGTCCTAGTTGTGTGCAACTGGTTGTTTGTGTCTGGTATGTACTTGGGTGGAAGGATGTAACTTTAGTTTTCCTCCGCTGAGTTTCGAAGCTGAGCTGCGTCGCGAGCCTCCACCGTCCGTTTGAGATCTCTCTGCAGCGGCGACGGCCAAAGTCCTTGAACATGGTGGAGCTCCAGACAGCACTATGTTCTGGGAAGACAGGCAAGTATGTAAATCCATGGTTCACTATAGTAAATGAGCTAATTATAAGAGATCAGAGAGATCTCAACGACGGTGGAGCTCGACTGCAGCTCAGCTTCGAACTCAGCGGAGGAAAACTAAAGGTTCATATAGAGTCTGCACCATATAAGGAACGTGGCAGTATAAATGGGCTAAAATTTAGTTAAAAACGGAAACTTAATTGCATTCTTTTGCTGGGCCCTAATTGCCATCTTTAGTAATGTTAATTTATCCCTTATGTATATACTGTTTTAAATATCCATTTGTGTGTTGTTTGGTGAGCAGATTGTTTAGACCAACCAGGACTCTTTAATATTGCTATCCAGTTGAGGTTGTATCCTATTGGTTAACTCTAAATAAGGGAAGCTTCTGACACTTTCGGAGTCCCTAAGGTGTCCCATATTCAGTGCTCTTTCACAGCATTTGAACCTACTAAGAATAGTCTTAGGGTTTTCGGCCAGTGAAGGCAGACATGATACAATGTGTTGTGCTGTGTGTTGTATATTCACAAGCCGTCGTAGTAAAGCTGAAACGAAGGTATTTGCTGAGTGAGACTGGTGACATTCACATGTGTAGTTAATGGTTTGCCTGTTACTATACAATATAGTAACTGTAGTGCATAGTGAGCAGTGACATTGTTGGTGCCATTTGTGTCACGTTGAAATTTTATGTGTGGGTTCACTCATATTATTATTGCTACTATGTTTGCAGCCCAAGCCGATCGAGACGCAAGTGATCACTCACCACATGCAGCGATACGCTGTGTGGTTTGGAGGCTCTATGCTGGCCTCTACTGTGAGTCTGCCCGCTCTGTACATAACACATACTCTTCTCTCTCTATATATATAGCCCTCTTCCTCTCCTCCCCCTCCCCTTTCTTCTGTTAACTCTGAAGGGGTATATACTAAGAATGATTTTGGCATGGAGTGCCCAATAGGGGAGGGCATTTGCCTACACTAATGAAGAAAAATGCTTAAGTTTTTGCCTATGAAATTGCTAATAAAGTTCTGCCTACCCACCAATGTAAACTTTGTCCCTATGCCTATGAATACTGCTATTAACCACTTCCCTATGCTTCTTTGTCCCTCTCTCCCCTCCCTCCCCTCCCTCCACAGCCGGAGTTTTACGAGGTGTGTCACACAAAGAAGGACTACGACGAGCACGGACCCAGCATCTGTCGCCACAATCCTGTGTTCGGCACAATGTCCTAACCTTTTACCTCCGCGCACACACAGTGTGCGTGTGTTATTTACTCCATACAAAAACTCTGTAACATCAGTCTAGGCTTTTCACAGGGTAATTTATCGTTTTCGACTTAGAATTCACAATGTCAACGTTGTTTAGTGCTGTATTATACATTTATTGTTTAAAAAAACATGCTGCGTAGTTGGCAGTGTGCATTAGCGAGATATCGTGTTTTTTGAAAGTTGTGTAAATTTATTGACAATACTGCTTTGTTTTAGCATGTTTTAGAAACGTCTATTGTACTGCTAGGTGCCCTGAAGACAGCACCTGAGTACTGTAGGTGTCATGGGGTGTCGAAACGTTAGAAAAACCATGCTCAACCATTGTTCTTCTCGAGTGAAATGTCACTAAAAGCTGAGCTCCAGACTTGGCATTTACAATTAACTGTGACCATAGTGCAAACATTCGTGGGGAAAATTCGAGGTCGTTGGCAGCAAAATTGTACGAAACAATCCAGTGTATGTCTTTGACTGATACAACAAGGGACACTATGGGGGCCAACGGTTTTGTCCCTATCTCAGAGGGTCCCTTATTGGAGGTTGCACTGTACTCCTGGCGTCCTGGGGCAGACTCAGCCCTTTAATGGGCGTGCTATACCACATGACGCACTCATGAAGACACTTAGACACCTCTGCTTAGGTTGCAGAGCACTTCGATACTTTAGAGTTTTAGAATGTTCATGACGTGTTTGCTTAACTTGTCTTGTGCCTCATCGATGTTTACAGATGCACAAAACAGAGAATGATGTCATCCCTACTCCACGAAAGGTTTGGGCTATGCTTACATATACAAGCCAAAATGACAAAAAGTGGCTCTAACTTTTAAGTTACACACCAGTCGCATGAAGCAGATTATGCTTTCATCATGTATTATGAAAAGCTATTAACCCTCGGCGCGCATGCGCAGCGAGGGTATAGTTGTCATTCCGTCCGTCTGTCTGTCTGTTACCACGTTTTCTCCCGCTACGCGCAACAAGACAGCCAAAAAGCGATACCGACTTGTTCAGTGCCACACTGGCTTATTTTAAAAATAGCGATTGTGGTAAAAAAAGAGTCAGTTAAAACGGTAAAATGGACCAGCCCACCAATGACAGTGCCGCGCATGCGTATGGTATTATAGTCATCCGCGTCTCTACGGGCAAGGCTCTGCGTAAAAAAGCATTGCAGGTAACCTGCTGAGGCACAGCCTGCCCGAGTAAGAAAATGTTAATATCCTGCTCCTCCCCCACACCACTGCAGACATCAGAATGTGCACAGGGTGAACATCTACCATTGCTAACCTACTGATGTAGCCAGCCCATGATGACATGTAACAGCTTAGTAGTATGTACATGTACTTAAATAAGTCGTATCGTTTATGAGACGAACGAACATTGGAGAAGTGAGATTGAGTAACAGACACACAGACCCAACTACCGTATATACCCTCGCTGCGCATGCGCGCCGAGGGTAAAAATATCGATAAGTAAGACACTCAACGCCGTACCGAAGTCAACAGATAATTTTACGGCCAAAACATGCATGGAAGCAATCCGACAATAATGGGAGGTAGGGTCTAACCTCATTCCCCTGCTGTTTTTGTTGGAGAGGAAAATGTCTTATGTAGACTATTATGTATGAATGATGGCGTTAGATATAACCAACATGATGTCATAGCACACAAAACACGTAAGGAAGTAGGAGATGGACTACTTCAAGGACTCTGTAGGACATGGGCTGAATGAACTGTTGACTCTGTGTTGTTGGTTCTATGGGAGTGATAACTGGGGAGTTTTGAGCCCTGGAGGAGTCACATTTGCTGTGTGTGTGTGTGCAGTATTGTCTATAGATTATTTGGAACGCAGCTTTCATTGTGTGCGTTCATAAATTACATAAGCATGGGTGATTGTTATTGTAGTACAAAGTGGCTTTTTAGAAAATTGCAGATAAATGTTTTCGTACACTGAGAGAGTCTTGTAGCCGGCTACACATCCGGGTGTGCAGACTGGTGAATCATGCTATGGGGTAGCAATGATACTGAGGATGGAAGCATGCATGTGCCATATACTCACTGCTATTATAACAAACAAGTACCAGCTGGTAAAGATAATTGGCTGATGTTCATCTGGGTGATTCTTAGGAGCATGTGCATTATGCTCCTTTGCATGAATTGTAGTTATAGCATAACCAGCCATAGTAGATAGATAGATAGATAGATAAATAAATAAAATAAACCACCACCAACATAATATATCCACAAATCCCAAAACATCCATACAAAACACATACACAAATACACATGACATGAGAGGAGGACACTGGGTGCCCAGCCTTGAGAACCGGGTGGTGAGTTAAAGAGTCTTTTTATGGCTAGCCAACTCTCCCACGCACCCAGCATCCAAACTCCACATCACAGACAATGACAGCCACACAGGGAGTAACTGTACGATAGCACAGTCACGACAACACAAGTAGAGTATGATACATATAAAAATATATATATAATTATAGATGGTAGAAAAATGAAATTGGTAACATTGTAGAAAAATAGAAATCTAGCTTACTTACTGGAGTGGTAAAATGACTCACTTGTAGCGAGTAAAATCATGGTAGAAAAAATAAGAATGACTTACTTGTAGCGGTAAAAACGTGGTGGTAGAGATAGGAAAAACAAAGAATCTGGAAATAATAAAACGACTACGTACCCAGTAAAAACGTGGGCACTATGGTGGTTCACTATTAGTGCTCTGCCACTTCATGATTAGTCGCTAGTGTGACACGTGGAGGGGCGAAGAAAGGGCGATGGTTTATGAATTATTAATCAAGACCACGGTGCTTAGACACACTGCTATGTGAAGTAGTAATGATTAGGTTATGATATCAGGTCTAATGGTTCTAATATTGACACACACCAGTGTAATTGACACTATGACAGCAGAAGATCAGGACCTGTTTGAAAAAAGGTATGAACCATCTGCACAGCTAGCTAGCTACACACACTGCTGGCTAGCTAGTGAGTGGAGACATAGGCTGGGTTTTCTCAAGCCTCATCTCATTGTGTTCATCTACAGGATCGTGGTGTACAGTCCGGATGCGCAGTAGACACCTCATCATACACTGAGGGTGTAGTTGGTGGTGGGTGAATAAATTTACATCAGTGCCATGTTACCATGACACTTTCGTTGTGCTCATCTGAAATCTCGTCATCCAAAACATGGTACAGAGTAACGAGTGCCATGTTCATCGTACTCTTACCTTGTGTCTATTTGTACTGTCGAAAAGGACAGTCGTATTATAATGACAGATGCTGACTTAGCTAACATACGATAGATCCAAGCAACAATTGCCACAATGATGAAAGCAACATTACTGTTGTCCTGACCTGAAAACTCCAACTACAGGGAAAGATAAACAGACATACCAACTCTAGCTGCTTTAATACACTAAGTGAATACACCTATGAGCAAGCATCAGAGAAATAATACTTACGGTGACATTTCGATGTGATAAATACTGATTGGGGAAGGAGAGTTCCCACAGAAGACCGGAGTTACTGAATCACGAAATCATAGGTGTAGGAGTTGTTGAGCTTGGGATCTCTCATACAATGACGGGTTGGAGTCGTAATGGTGACTGTGGTTTGAGGCAGTCACTATGTAATCAATAAATGTTTCTAAACGGAGCACCCCCCCCCCCCCCTTTTTTTTAGAAAAAAATTAAATTCCCCAATGGGGCGGGTGGATCTACTCCAGTGCGTACCGCTGGGTCTCGATAGGTAACCAGTTTTTGGTTATGAGTACAGTGTCTTGTTGTTACAGTTACCGTTTAAGTGGGAGGTTTTTCAACATGACAGGGGCATGTCGTATCTGCAATCAGCCTGTCCAGCCTACATGTGAGTTTGTTCAATCACTCAGCTGGGTAGTTGCTTATCTCTATTCCACTCCACCGGTCGTCCCCTAGTGAGCAGCACTGTGGTTGGAAGATTAAAAATTCAATCATACCATCTCGGTGTTTTACAGTTGAACATGATATCACCGTAAGTTGCCTGTCGTATTCAATTCCATTCCACACCTGTTTCATCACAAAGTGCTAAAAGCCAGTTTGAGAAGAATTGTATATCTCAATTACCTTCCACCTGTGTTTTCACAGTCGAGTTTATATCACTGTAGAGTTGGCCTGTGTATTTCAATTCCGTTCCAACCTGTGGATGTGTACAGTAGAGTATGAAATCAGTGTAGGAATTTGGTTTTTTCCTTGGGTCGTATTCAATTCATGACCACCCAGTGCTATTGAGGAAGGGTGTGCAATATGTCAGGTTTTGATGAGTGCAGAGGTTGAATCAGTGCCATCCGGTATATTCACAGTGGGTGTTAGAATGTGGTATTATCTGTGTTCGCAGCGTTAATGCGTCCAGCCGGTATTCTTCAAGAGAAGCGGATATGTTGTTATCTATGGTGTTAGCAATTAATGCATTTTAGGGACGTCAACAACCACCTGATGAAGAGTGACATTTTTGTGCTTCAAGGATATGCCTACGTTTTTTCTTTCAATTCCGAGATGTTAACATCGACAGTGCGATAAATGTGACAGATAACGTGACGGGCTGGAATGATCTTCACTTGAGGGTTTGACTTTCTTCAATGTTTCTTTGGGGTGATGCAATCATGTTTCGTGCTACAAAGACCTTGTGAGGGGTGTATTTTAGGGAGAAGTTTGAAGCTGTGTTGAGATGATGTTGGTACTGGAGTGGTAATATATTGGTCAGAGTGAGGCAGGGTTTACGGGACAGGAGATACAGCGGTGATGTTGAGTCAAAAGTTGACTTGTTGGGAGCCGGTAGCTGCACAGTGTATGAGACAATATGGTCGACACAGCACAATGTACAGTAGTGATGCTTATTTACAAATTTTTGCTTGCACATATAATTTACAATGCGGGATGGTTGGTGTTTTTATGTGTGATTTCCACCCCTTATAAAAGCTGAAACTTCCTGCAGATTAGGTATATACATACTGTATTAATCTACCAATTTCTCTTTGGTTGACAATCCATATTTGTGTGTATACATTTCATACATTTTTTGCAGTTTCCAGCCTTTCTTTGTGAGCCAGCTTTTACTGCATGTGAGTGATGTATTTGACAAACCACAGCCATAGCTATCAAGGAGTCGGCATATTACATGTTGGAGACAAGACCAGAGAGATTAGCCGGGAGTGGACGATGGTACATATACTTACATATACACACACCGACTACT